TTATTGATTTAGTGCCGGTCGATGGCGTGCGCTGGGGCGCGGAGGAGCTACCGGAGAAGCTTCTCGTTTTCGTGGACGTTACATTCCGCGGTGGGGCAGACAATAAAGCAAATAAGTGGCCGTTTAGAATAAACAGCTAACGACCGTCTGTACCCGAACAGAGAGCTCGGTACAAAGTGAGGCCTCGGGTGGCAGGGAGGGGAGGAGGCGGAGCAGAGCGCCCTGCGGGCCGGGGTGGGGGGGGAGGGGGCAGCCGCCAGGGACAAGACCCTGCCAAATATCATTGACATAAAATGACTGAAAAGCTATCCTTTCTTTTGTAGTTCGTATCTATATATTTTTTGGCATCTGTATATATAAAAGGCTAAGTCACCAACCAACCGGCTGGTCCATATGACGCGCACTGGCAATTTAAAAATAAACGTTGACTCAAGCATATTGCAGTAACATAATTACCGCACGAATCTTTCTTCTAATTAGTTTCCTTTCAATGTGCACGAATCCATGCACTGGGCTACTAGTACTAGTAATATTGACATTTAACAAAATGGGCTATCATTCTTCCAAGTGCATTTAATGGAGTCTAAATCCACAGTGGTTTAGCCATGATCCACTTTTAAAAGGTCAGATATAATTGGCATAACATTATGTCAGTTGCAGATGTAAAACATGGTTCAATATTTGTATATTTTGTGAAATAGTCACAGTAAGTTTAGTTAACAATCATCATCACCACACACACTTTTTTCTTGTGAAGAGAATGTTTAAGATTTATTCTCTTAGCAACTTTCAAATATACAATACAGTATTATTAACTACTAGAGGCCCAGTGCATGAAATTTGTGCATGGGTAGGGTCCCTAGCAGCTGCCAGCTGCCAACCGGGGCCTTCATTCTGTGCTGCCCCCTGGTGGTCAGTGCAGGTCATAGCGAGCGAACAAACTCCCGGTCAGTTGAACTCAGGAGGGGACACTTTGCATATTAGGCTTTTATATAGAGAGAGATAGTTGGCATGCTATACATCCCATCCCCAGGACTCCTGGCAACCGCCAACCACCAGTCTGTTCTCTGTGTGAGTTTGTTTTTAAGATTCCACCTATAAATGAGATCACTGGTTATTTGTCATTCTCTGACTTATTTCACTTAGCATAATGTTCTCAAGGTCCATCAATATTGTAACAAATGGAAGGATTTCCTTCTGTTATATGGCTGAGTTATATTGCATTATATATAATTTTCTTTATCCATTCATCCATGATAAACACTTAGGTTGTTTTCATGTCTCAGCTCCCTGTATATAATGCTCACCATCCACTTTTCACAGTCAGAAATTTTACATCTTTTCAGGATATTTTCCTTGAACCTATAGTTTTATTTTATGTCCCTCACAGGATTTTTATCCTAATCTAAAAGTTCATTCTACACGGATCACTGGGTTTCATCCTATGTAAAATAGTTTTATGCTTTAAGTTTTATTATTCACTCTAGCATACATCTCTGTAAAGAAATTACAATTTTTTTCTCACGCTCAGATGTTAATTATTTGCTAGATTATTAGCAAAATTATACAAACATAATTCAAAATTTTACTGTCAGTAGTTACACAAAATGTGAAATTTCTTAGAAGCATAACTTTTAATACAATTCCGCCCCGAGAGGAATTGTATTTTTTAATAGTCAAGTTACGCAAATTACTTGGATGCATTTTACTTATCACCAGAGTGAGCCTGTATTCAGCCTCAACGCTATGCAGATTTTCCATTTTTTATAGATTCAGGTGCTAGGTAAACAGAGGGAATAGAAGGGGTTTCATTGTAGCAATGCCTCCTTGACCTCACTTGACTCCATACCAGAACTCTAGGCGCCTCCAAGAAAGTATTACCAGTGAAACAACAAGACCTTGGTTCTTGTCTTCTTGAAGAAAAGATTTCAATCAAGAGACAAAGTGTAACAAAGTAAGTAAGAATTTATTGGCCACAGCAAAAACATACTTAGGACAGTGAAACAAGGAAAGGCTTAGCATATCCTATATAATAAAGAGCTAATATGCTAATTAGACTGAACAGCAGAATGACCGTCCAGACGACCTTCCAGACAACCATCTAGATGACTTCCGGACGAAGCCTGGGCTGTGAGGGCCAAAGCAGCCGGGGCTGCAAGGGCTGAGCCCCTTGCATGAATGTTGTGCATCAGGCCTCTAGTAAGAAATACAGGAGAGCCTAAGCAGGGCTGCTTTGGTTCACTAAGAAGTCAGAGAAGTCCTAGCTGGTTTGGCTCAGTGGATAGAGCCTTGGCATGTGGACTGAAGGGTCCCAGGTTCGATTCCAGTCAAGGGCACGTGCTCGGGTTGCAGGCTCAATCTCCAGTAGGGGGCATGCAGGAGGCAGCCAATCAATGATTCTCTCTCATCATTGATGTATCTATCTCTCTCTCCCTCTCCTTTCCTCTCTGAAATCAATAAAAATATTTTTTTAAAGAAGTCAGAGAAAAGGGGCCTTGGAGACAGGTTCAGGGGGTTAGCCCAGGAGAGCTGCCACTGCCTGTTGCTCCCCTGGTTGCAAGTCTTGTGGAATCCATTAGAGGGAAGAAGAGGAAAGGGAATGGCTCCAGGGAGAGCACGCACTGGTTCCTTCCTCCCGAGTGTATTTATCAGGGGAGAGTCTCAATAGAATATTCATAAGCTTTCCAGGTGTGCTCTTTCAGGGTTGTGGTCTCCCCTGATTGGTCAGAGCCAGGGCAAGGGGTCATTAGTCAATGCAACTGGTCCTGAGGCAGCCACAGCATCACTTGTCTGGTTATTAGCTTTTTGGGGCCTGGAGTTGAAATATCACTGAGGTCTAGATGTTATCTTTAGGGAGGAAAAGGTCAGGGGGGCGTCTAAACCGCATAGCTATTGATATGAAAAGTCAAGGGGTCCAAACCACATGACCAGCAATATGCTAGTGGAGGAAGGTTACCCTGAGGGCAAGGTTCTTGTTTTCCCAGTTTTGCACATTGGAAGGAATACACAGCAGAGTAGGGAAAGCCAAGAATGGGATCAGTGAATTGGAAAATAGGGTAGAAAAATCACCCAATCAGAGAACAAAAAAGGAAAAAACAATTTAAAAACAGTAGGGCCCTAGCCCAGTGGTCGGCAAACTCATTAGTCAACAGAGCCAAATATCAACAGTACAACAATTGAAATTTCTTTTGAGAGCCCAAATTTTTTTAAAACTTAAACTATATAGGTAGGGTACATTGTTTATTAACTTAATTTAGGGTACTCCTAAGGCT